AACAACTTGTACACTTATAACTTTTCGTTTCAAAATTTTCAGTTGATAGAACGAGCCCAAGAAGAAAATAGGAGACTATTGTCTCTCTTAGAAGATCGGGATCATAAAATAATGGCTCTCGAAGCTCGGTTGCTTCAACAACAACATGAAATGACTATAGAACGGGAACGACTTCGGGAGGAGAACGCTGCATTAATTCGTGCGATGGCAGCCCTGGCGAGTAATTAATTTTCCAATCCGCAAGACAGTCCGATTTATCAATCCTATGACCGTCTGATTATTTCTAGAAATTGCGAATCAGCGGTTAAAAAAGCTATATATACATATATACTAATAGTTTGTAAGTAATTGTGAATTTTCTTGTTAATAATAGCCGAGAAGATAGCGAAGCGATTTTAAAAGTTATTTGTTAATGATTTATGCTGCAAAAGAATCAGGGTAAGTTACGCAGTATAAATATACAATCGACTCTCGATTTCTATAATATTTTTTCGCAATAAGCAATAGATCGTTGAATACGAACAAGTAATTATATTTTATCCGCTTCACTTGTAGAGCTTCATTTACGCGAATATTCCTTTCTTAACAGAAAGATATAATCAATTTTTTTTACGCGTTCGCATAGAGTCGATATCTAATCTCGAGCGATAAGTTCGAGCAAATATGTCTTTTCGCGATATAATAACGTAATGGAATAAGAGGTGCTGCAATTTGTTATGTCATTGTTGTTAGACCAGAGAATGTGTAAAGTAAATATTGGAAATTTTATGCCTGAAAAAATATCTAAGACTCGGATCGAGTCTTTGCATAGTATTTATTGTAACTTGTACGTTATCTGTTTTATACTCGAATGGATGGTAACATCGTTACTCCATGTAAGACTTTTTATCTATAAAAAAATTTTGCTTCATCGCGCAATTATATTGGCATAATGTTAATACAACAAAGGCGTAATAAAAATCGTTATAAAATTAAACAGGATCTGTGCAAAACGTGAATAGGATGGCATAAAACTAGAAATTCCATATCGATTACTTATGCATTTAATTTAAACAAACAAGATTTTTTGCATTTTCAGCTATGAACAGAACGAAACGTAATGAATAGGGGTATATCTTAGAAGAAGCAAGAAATGACCCCTAAAATTATTATTACTATTACTATTACTATTACTACTAATTATATTATTACAACTTAATATTTACTTACAGCGAAACGTATATAATATTTAGAAAGCAGGAGACTGAGAATGCGAGTACATTATGAGCGAACAATATCGAGAGAAAGTAATAAATCGAATTTGTATTTACGTATGCACAATCATATTTTATCTGTCAAAATGACATATTGAATAATGAAGAAGAGAACGCGAAAAGAACGTGTTTGCTTATTAAGTTTATCGTATGCGTGTTTCGCGGCCATATTGAATTTAATTTTCAGAAGTTGGATCATTTTGATTCCTTCTTGAAAAAATATATAAAAAAGAATGCTCGGTCTAAGAAAATTAACCGATTCTATCGTGAGAATTTGGAAACTTTATTATATTCAAAATTCGATATTTTCTGTCTAAATAAAGATTTTCCTAATAAAACATTTGTATTTATTTTTGTTTTTTTTATAAAATTGATATAATTTCAATATTTTTTTCAAAAAAGAAATGATCTTTAATTAATATCTCATACTTTATCTGGGGTTAAATAGTCACGCACCAAGAACGCATGTAAATAAAGAGTAAAACAAAACGGAGAGGAAAAAATATTGAAATCAGCGCCATCTTCAGAATGCTGCAAATAAAACTCGGAAAAAGAAAAGAAATAAAATAAAAAATGAACAGTAAGCGCCATCTCTGAAATGCCAAAAATATTACTTATGATTCTAGAAGTACTCAAGAGATGGCATTGATTATTAATTCTTATTCTGTCTATTTTGAAGAGATGTCTTAAATGTTCAAAAGATGGCGTTTATAATCAATTCTTTTTTATGAGTTTCATTTACGGCACTCTGAAGATGGCGCTGATTTCAATATTTTTACTCTATTCCTGTCTTTTTCTTATTTTTTGTCTATAATTGTAAAATATATGAATTCAAAAGATAGCTCCTATTTCTAATTAACTTTATTGAATTTTTTATTTAATCTAATTAATTAAAAATCTTAATAAATTATATCGTATCAATTTGTTTTTGCGTTATGTTATTTCTATCATTTGAATTTTACAAGAGACAAGATAAATGATAAACAAAATATTGTGATTATTAGAAAAAAAAGAATTGAGCAAAAAAATATGCGGTTTATACTTTTATTCATAAAATAACTAAATTTTGATATGATACAATAGTTGTCCTCGCGTATGCACAATTACTTTACGTTACATTTAACTGTACATTGAAAAACGAAAAAGGTATTCGATCGTACGGCAACGTTTCCGCAAAAAAAAAAAAATTGTCGACCAACTTGGTGCAGCATCTACCCCATCCCAAGATGTGTATACGCAAACTTTAACGTGTGCATACCAATGCAGAAAGACATTAGCAATAAAGATATACATCGAACTATGATATACATCATTAAGTAATTTAGAAGATTAATATAAAATAGAATTGGTCAAAGCATCATTCAAAATTCGAACGGTAAGATGATCTTAGGAACTTATTGGACCACATGGCGTTTAGTATTAGTTTCATCTTTTAGGTTATTTTCGCGTGCAACGGGCAATCGCACAATGCGACACAACCATTTACCAATCTTATGACTCTGCTTTTACCAGTTCCAATATAAAATTACACCAAATGCTATTTTTATCGTTATACGGCAACGACAATCGTTTATCGTACAGGTCGATATACATTTTATTGTTAAAACTCTTCCACAACTCAGTAAACACTACATATACATATCGTACATCCTCGTGACGCAACAGGTACTACAAGTTCGTAGCTCTCTGCCCTTTTATTTCTATCGAATATATAGTTCTCTTTTTCTCATTTATTACACGATCGGTCTCTTTCCTTTTTTCTCTCCCCCCTCCCTCTCCTCCATTTTACGCGATTCTATTCGTGATCGCCTGTCTTTGCTCGGTGAAATATTTACAACACTATTCGCTAACACTTTTTACAAGTTCTACACGAAGCGTCACGGCGCCCAACTATTATAGGAGAATATGCGAACATAAATTGTTCCCTTCGAATGTGACATTCTTCGCGATCTACAACAAAAAAAAAAAAAAAAAAAAAAAAAAAAAAAAAAAAAAAAAAAAAAAAAA